GTTGTAATGTGACAAAATATGGAAAAGTTCAAGGGGTATGAATACTTTTGCAAACCACTGTACCTACCTACCTGCCAACCTACCAACTTCCAACCTACCTACCTACCTACATACATTCATACATACATTCATTCATTAGAGGTGGAACTCAATTCCATGTGGTGTGGGAGTACTCTATATGAACAAGTGGAATGGATTGTATAACAACGCACCAAAGAGGATCTCTACCTTACACTATAAATTAAAGGGAAACTGATTTATGATCATATATTTTAGTTAATAATGAAATATTAAATTATTATTTATGCTGACCACATCATATTGAATTTTTGTAAAATAATTTTTTTACACCAAAATAATTTAGGGGGGCTCCAGCCCCCCCTGAAATAGGCCTAGTGTCGCCACTGACGTGYACGCATTTTTTTAAGCTGTGGAAAAGATTGCTCAAGGTTTATAAAGAACATAAAAATGCTCAGAAGCACCACGCCCTGATTTGTTCCTGAGGGTGTGACTGTAATGTGTTTCAGCAGCGCAGGTAATGCTGCAAAGCCTTATTGGGTATACACCCAGGGCTCGCACCCCACCCAGAAGTGCCCTCAATTATTAGCTCTGTGGATGACGTCATGCATGTGCAGATTGCCTTCATCACGGGGATGCATGGGGGCTTTGATTGCGCGCATCACCCCCCACCCTCACCCCCCTCACCGTCGGCGCTCCAGCTCCTGGCCGCCTGCCTGCAGCCGCCTGCCGGGTCCCTGCAGCCGCTCGGCTCGGCTCGGCTCGGCTCCTCTGCAGGGCTGCGCAGCTCCTGACTGACAGAGAGATGAGGGGTGGGGACGCAGGGTGGGGTCACAAGCAGGGAGAGGCGGAGGAGGAAAAAAGGCAGAGAGAGAGAGCCCAGCCCCAGAACTCACGGCAACAACAAGCCGACACGGAGAGAGGCGCTCACAGAGACCGACCTGGGGGGTGGGGGACGCAGGGAACCCTCGACGCTGCGGACATGAACTGAAAAAGACACGCTGGAAAACTGACTGTGAAGGTGGAGATTAAAAAAAAAAAAGCCCTACCCCCTTTCCTCCTCTCCCCCCTGACAGTTCATAGAGCTACACCCTAAAGCCCCCCACCCGACCGACCCCCCCTCTGCTCCACCCCTCCGCCGCCGCGCCGCTCCGGCAACCGAGATGCACACGGAGACCCGTAGCAAAAAAGTAAGTGCTCCTTATCGGCTCTGACCAGGTCAGAGTGAGACAAAAAGAAAGCATCTACCTGTGTACAAACGGGAGGGGTGGGGGGGTGGGGGGGGCACGGTTTGAATTAATGTCAGTGAAAACGCGTCTCTGTCAGAGGAGGACATCATTTCAGGCGGTTTGTGTTGCAACCAGTGGAGCAGTTTTGTAACAGTCGACCTCATTGCAGAGCAAGTGCATGGATGGTACAGAGTCCTGTCATTTCAACACGGAAGCTTCTGCATCTCCTCTGGATCTGCCTCTCTCTCCCTCCCTCTGTGTGTGTGTGTGTGTGTGTGTGTGTGTGTGTGTGTGTGTGTGTGTGTG